AATGCGCACACAATTAATATGCATTCATTTCCAGCAAAAAGAATGTGCTAGATTTCTTGGGCCTCCCTTATGGTTCCTTCACAAAGAGGTGGCAACCCTGGGTCTCAAACAGAACTTGAAAAATGTTACTTTTTGGACTACAATTCCCAGCACCCAGTCAAGAACAAAGGCTAGTCTTGCCTAGTGGATGTACCATGTCGGGGTGCCAAGCAGAAGGCTCGCCTGATGAAGAAAGACTTCCACAAAGATTATCAGAATGATATCCTTGGTATACAGGAATGGGCAGAATACACCCCACAAGATGTTTGCTGCACCCATATCCCTCTGAAGCCCATCCATGCTTCCAGCTCAGATAAACCTTGGTATACAGGAATGGGCAGAATACACCCCACAAGACGATTGCCGCACCCATATCCCTCTGAAGCCTATCCATGCTTCCAGCTCAAATAAATAGGGAAGAAATGTATTTTTAGGAAAATCACCAGATTTTTTTTGGGGGGGGGGAAGGCTCCTGAAGGCCTCTCAAGACAGATAGGTCAGCAATATCTATCAATCTATCTGCCTACCCAGGAATGGGCAGAATACACCCCACAAGACGATTGCCGCACCCATATCCCTCTGAAGCCTATCCATGCTTCCAGCTCAAATAAATAGGGAAGAAATGTATTTTTAGGAAAATCACCAGATTTTTTTTGGGGGGGGGGAAGGCTCCTGAAGGCCTCTCAAGACAGATAGGTCAGCAATATCTATCAATCTATCTGCCTACCTTCCTTATTCTTACAGCCTTCCAGGCGGCAGTGGTGAGGGAGAGAAAATCAGTATCTGGCACTTGTATTTACGACTTTATCTGACGCTGAGGTACTTTATCATCTCCTGGCCTTGGGCAGCTTGCCATGGCTTGGGGTGCAGGGAAGCCAAAAATGTGGCCCTCTCCGCCCCTCAAGGTCCCCCAGCCTTTGCAACGACAAACAAGTTCACCGTTTCTGCCTTTTCTAAATGCTCCCTGGACTCTCGTCAGGCGGGGCTACCCACAGTCTCAACCCTCACCATGTCAAGCCCCGGGATAACACTTCCACATTTCCACTCAAAGTTCAAATACACTTCAAAATAAATACTTTTGGGGGGGGGGAATCTATTTGGAAACTGTTTACTTCAACCCAGCCAGCTGGGGATTCTGGGACTTGTAGTCAAAGTGCTAATTCCAAGACCATCAGATGACTACATCCCAAATCTTTGACTCTGTAGAGTTGCTATCCAAAGGCAAAATAAAACAGGACATTTAAAACAAGAACCAGCAAAAGTGGCACGATCTGGTTGTTTGGACTACCAGTCCCATCATTCTACAGCAGTACGGCCAGCAACTGAACCGGCTACAGGATTCTGGGAACTGAGGTTCTAAAAAAAAAAGCAAATGTGTTCCATCTCTTTCAGGAACAGATGTGGTTGGACTCCCAGCATCCCTTACCACTGGCTATGCTGGCAAGAACTGCTGGGATTTGTAGTCCAGTAGCACCCAGAGGACAATGTATTCTCCATACCTTCTTGAATTGCCCAAGGGGGAAAAACGCAAATGGGTTTTCTTGGTGTAGCAAGAAACACGGCCATTAACAAAATGACTCCTGATCCAGTTGCCCTTAGAAACTCTGGAGGGTCTGGAAGCGAATTCCCCATGCCTGCACCCTCAAGAGGCCACCTCCTCCCCTCTCGCCAAAATATGGAAGACAGCACAAAATCCAGTTGTGGTTTCAACATTTTTCAAAACCAAAGCTCGGAGCCAAAGTGCTCTGGAGTACAGAAGAACAGGGGAAACGGTGAGACATTGAAGGGGGCCACAAAACAGGTCGAGCGGCGACATGAGGCAGCCGGTTGTACATTGTCTACCCTGACGATAAAAGGCACAGGAGCAGGAATTGTTTAAGTCAGGTGGCAACCCTAGAGTTCAGAGCTAAGAACACTGGCGCTCCAGATGTTGCCGGACTTCCAATTCCCACCAGACCAGGCAATGATGAGGGCTGATGGGTCAAAGAGTTCATCAACATCTGGACGGCCACATGTTTGCCAGGCCTGTGATGTTCACAGCAGGGAGACCAGGACGCGAGTCTCATCCTTAATGGAGACATGGGGCTCATACTGATTTCAAGGGGCGGGGGGGGGATATAGGGACCTCCAGGACTCCCACCAGTTCGGCCTGGAATAGCCAGAGAGGCAAGATTACAGAGTTTGTGATCCAGGAGCACCTGGTGGATCAAACAGTCCATAACCTTGGTTTATATCATTTTTCCTAGACTGGACCACTTCAGGCTGGAGCTGGAGGGGAAAGAGCACGCTTGAATGTTACCATACCCCATCCTGGGTAAAAAAGAAAAAAAACACTGTACACAGAAAAATCAGCACATTATGGGGGGGGGGGGAATCAGAACAACACTTGGTTTTACTGCCTGCCGCAGTAAAACGTCCACAACCAGCACAGAAACACAGAGGGCTGGTTAGTGGAGAAAACAACCCCCCTCCCCATGCCAACATATAGATGCAAAGGCTCGTTAACGAGCCAATTAACTAGTTGGATTGGACAAACAAATCCAATTATGTAAGCTACGTATTTAAGACTGCTGATTGGATTCAGACCAGAGTCTACTAGCTTCCTCTTAGTTCTAGAAATATGCCGATCTGCATATTCTGGACTGCAACTCCCAGAATTCCTCATGCAGCTCTGCTACCTGAGGAATTCTGCGAGCTGTAGTCCATAAAAGGCCTAATTTTTTTTCAGGCTAGGGACTCTTTTTTTTTAGTCTTATTTACTGCTAACATCTCTTCTGAATGTGCTGGCTTTCCCTGTGCCATGGAATACTGTTTTATTTTTAATTGGGGGTGGGGAAATCAAATACAACATTTCCCCCACCTACCCCAAAGCTGAAAGGGTACAATCCAGATCACTGTTGTCACATGTCTAAACTAGATTGGTCTAGAGACCAATTCCAAGGGCAGGACTCGATCCACACTTGCTACTAGAATTGGCAAAGTTACCTCTTGGAACTACAGTTCCCATAATTCCACAGCAATGCAAAGGGGGCCATGTTGTTCCAAAAGCCATAAACCCTCCCCACAAGTAATTTTTCCAGAGGGACCTGTCGAAAAAGAGAGGGTTCCTGTACGTTTAATAATTCCTTAGAAGAGGATATTATAGTGAGAGTAGCTTTTAACACAAGGTACACCTGCCGGGATTTTCTAATTCACACCACTATTAAAGGTACAGGAACCCCACCCTCTTTTTCAGGGGGTCAACCCTATTCCTCCCACCTCTGCTTGCAATCCCAAGTGTACCTAAAGTCAACTTTTTAAAATAATGGTTGGAGTGTGTATGGAAACGACTGTCTACACTGGGATGAGATGCTGTTGGCAATCATCTGGACTTCCAGTTCCCTGAAGCCTTAGCCCCTGTTGTTGGTGGGAGCAGATTTTAGGAGATATGACCCAAAACTCTGAAGAGCCAAAGGTGCCCCAGCCATCACAGATGTTCCGAAATCTGATGGAACAGGAAAGGTGGCTTCTCCCACCTGTTCTGTCCTGCTCTTTTACCCCGGCCATGCCCACCTGGCAGTAGAACAGGTAAGGGCTCCCTCCTGGGCGACTCCAGGCCCAGTTTTAAGTGCACTGCTGTTCATGGCTGCTTATACAGTGAAATATTTCACAGCAGACCTCCTATGCTGGGGGGGGGAATCAGATACATCCACATGGCAGGCCTGCGTGAAACAGGAATGGAGGCAAATCCACAACGACACCCTGTTCTTTTGGCCAAAGGCAGGAAGGGAACTGGGGGTTCCTCCCATACCTGGCACCGATAAACAGTAGGTCACCATTTCACCACAAAACCACCTCCCATGTTCTCTCCCCTCATTCTCTAATTTTTTGTTTAGTCTTACACCAGAATTTGGAAGAAAAGCAAGGCAACCAAGGAAGAGCCTCAGCTGCTCCCATCTGCAAAGTGGACAGAGCCACAGTCTCTCTCTCATGGGACTGAGAACTCAATAAATAGTGTTGAATGTATTCCCCCCTGCTGTTCTTAAGGATGTCAGTGGCTGCTAGTTTTCTCTTCTCTTTTTCCGTTAAGATGGATCTGTTCTCTCATCACCTATTGCTTCAACCTAGCGGTTGTGATTGTTGGTTGCCGCCGAGAACAGTCAGAGGGACTATACGTTTCCATAATATACTAAAATAAATAAATTATAACTGGGGAAAAAATAGTTATACCAACAAGTGCTGCCCTTCCTGATGAAGCCTGTGAAGTAGAACAAGCTCAACAGTGTATACAGTTCTGGTGCCGGGCATCTGCATAGTGTCTTCACAATCATCTTGCAAGGTAGGTTGGTTATTCCCATTTTACAGATGAGCAGGTGCCTCCTTGCCTCCAGGGCTCCTCTCTATCTGCCATCAAACTAGGTTCGCTGTGCACTTGACAGCCCTCGCTTGCTCACAGTGTGGGGCCTTGCTTACACCTTATTGCATAGGTATATGAGAAGTCCTGTTAAAACCAGAAAACTTGGAGGTGATCTTTCCTTCGACGACCTCTCCCAGAATCTCCTAGCCCACATGGCTTAGACTACAAGACCAAAAATACCGCTACCACCACGGGAAAGGTGGCCATGAGTAGAGATGCAACATTTCCCCCCCAAAAATCCATTTTTTTCCAGAAAAAAAGAGGGGGAAATATTTTTCTCCCTGAATATTGCAATTTTTTTCTGAGGGGGAAAAACAGGGGAAAAACATTTTCTTCCTGGAAATTTCAATCCCCCCTCCAGAAAAATATATTTGGCTGGGTTTATTTCCAGAAGAAAAAATGGATATATTCAGAAATTTTGCATGTCTACTCATGGCCCATGAGCCTAGGGGGGTGATTCCCAACCTTGGCTAGCACAGATATTCTTTGATTGCAACTCCCATAAGTCCTTGCCAGCACAGCTCATGGTGAAGGTTGTTTTTGGGAGTTGCAGTCCAAGAACACATGGGTGACCCAAGGCTGGGAACCACTGGCGATTCTGGAGTTGTCATCTGAAAGAAGGACATGTTCCACATCTTTTAAAAAAAACATACTGAGAGGGGGAAAGCATCCTGGCAATCCTGCTTTTTGGGAAACGTCGCTAACATTTGACTAAGAACGAAAACAAGAGTAAAGGAAGAGTCAGCGTCCATCATTCCCAAATCTTCCTTTTTGCTCCTCTGTCGGGCCCTGTGTCAAGGGTACGTGAGGTGGCGTCAGAGGTGGAAGGCGCGGGCGAGTCTGGCACGGCGTCCTCTCGAGGTCCATCCGTAGAGGTTGGTTCAGCGACCAAGTTGCCTACGCCACCGGGAGTGGCCATAGGAGGCAGTGGACATGGTGTTACTGGGCCAGTCAAGGGCTCAGGAGCCATACCTGGCATATGACCAGGAGTGAGGGGTGTGCTGTTGTTGTATCCCTGGGAAGCACCACCATGTGCGCCTTGCGGGGAAGCTCTCTGGCCAGTAAATACTGCCGCAATGGCCGCCATGGTGGCCGTCTGTTTGCCTAAGAACTCCCCCAGGTCCGTGTGGGAGCGTTCGATGGCGTCAACCATCAGCTGGGCTGTGGCCCGGTCCTGCCGGCGCTCCTGCTTCCGGTGTTGCCTCTCCTCTTGCCTGGCCCGGTCAAAGGCCTTCAAGTCCTGGCGATGAAGGCCCCGCATGGCATCCAAGAGCAGCGAAGGCGCCCTTGACGCCGACTCAACCAGCTGCATGCTGGTCTCCAGGCGCTGCTTCCGGTTCCGCATCCTGCGGTTCCGCATCCGTTCCGCGTTCGTGAGGGGTCTCCGGAATTCCTGGATAGGGCCTGTAGGCACAGGGTGGCCAGGGAAGAGCGGAAGAGCGGAATCAATACAGAAAGGCAGCCAAAATCGGACCGATTTGCTTTTCTTTAACTCACACATTTTACAGCAGCGTTCGGTCACTGTATTAACAAGTCTGCACCTAAAAACGACACTGTTACCTCACAACAAGGCTCTCCTCAGTCCTATCCCAGACGTTTAGGCCTCAGAAGTTTTTGCTGCGTTCCTGGTGAAAGGGGATGAACTCAGGAACGCAACTTGTACGTCATTCATAGGAAGCCATTTCCTGCCAAGACTAAAGGGAGTGTAAATGGACAATAAAGATTCTAGCTATTGTTGTTAGGGAATCTAACCATTTTACCGTCGTCATAAGGACACAGAAGCTGCCAAGAAGAGGGAGCAAGAACAATGTCCATGTGAAGGGAGGCAGCTAGAGCAACATTTTTGCTAAACGTTGTGGTAGAACAATGGGTAGTGCAAATGGGTAGAATGCTCAGCGACCCTAGCCAATCAGAATATTGGAATCTTAGTCAACCAGGGCTAGAAAAGTTGTAGTGGAATAAGGGAATGTGGTAAAGTTCTACTACATACATCATTTAGTACAAAAAGGTAACAGAGTATCTAGGGCTTGGTGGACGTGGATTCAAATCCTTGCTCAGCCATGGAAACTCACTGGGAATGAGTGTAGCAGTGGTAAACCACTTAAATATCTAGCACACCTTGAATATTCTTTGAATATTTCACATACATCAAAAACTCTAGTAGAGTCACTATAAATCAGAAGCAACTTGATGGCATAAAACGATGACGCAACACCCGTGTTATATATCCTTTGTCTTGCTGAGAATCCTCCTTACCATAAGGCCTGAGGCTCCGGCCACCCTCCGGCACAGGTTCCCTGCAGATCAGCGTTCTCCCGAGGTCCAACAATCCTCTTTCTGGCAGGAGGGGGTTTGGGGCGGACTGCCCAATGGCGGGATATGGAGTCTGCGGTGCCAGGGGCGGGTACTGCATTGGCAGTGCCACAGGGGGATAATGGACTTGTTGTGCCAAGGCAGGATATGGCACCTGTTGAGCCAAGGGCCGGTTCACCACCACCTCCTCGAATGGCCACAGCAACTGGAAAGATGACGCAAGAGGTTCAGGGTGATGGAAAAACTGAGCGCCCTCCCCTCTTACCCTCTACCTTATTTATTTTCTCTAGCACATTCAATTTGTTTGGCATGTCTACACACATTTCTACACACTGTAATAAAAACTTAAGTTCTCAAACTGTAACATTACAGGAACATCTGGGAGAATATCTTGTGCCATGTTATTGTATTATAACCAATAAAAAAATCTTTAAATAGGAGACTGTATGAGCCGAGTGAATTTTCCTTTTGGTCTTCCTAAATCCCACATCATTCATTGACTGGTGCATTCTAGTCCCAGCCTGGAACCTTATTTCTTAAAAGCGACACAACACTTTGCAGCAGATAGATAAATAATTGTTCTCGTTGCTCGAGTCACAGAAGTAATGTGTTGCACTGAGTGCTACGAATTCATTATGTTATTGTTACCAGCATATAAAAAATGTAAAGGGTGACATATCATCAGAAAATGTCCCTAAAAAGGCGGCAAAATGTCCTTAAAGCCCAATTTTTGAAAGTAACTTGAAAACATTTCAAGTAACATTTTAAAGTAATGTGGAAGCAATTTAATTACTTCTGAAATGCAAAGAAGACCCCTCCTGATGCAATGGGTTCATTTGTCGTACTGCTCTAACAGTTAAGAAGTTTGTCCCAATATTCAGCCTAAATCTGGCTTCCTTGTAGCTTGAGCCTATTATTATGTGTCCTGCACTCTGGGATGATTGAGAATTTTATTTCATTTCATCTTATTCTCTGCAACCTTTTACCCAG